AAAGGGCTTTTTACTCTGTTTGCCGGGCACTTGGTGAAGCCTTTTGCTGACACCTTGAACCAGGTGAACATCTCCAAAACAGGTTGGTAGCTGACCCCAGTTCAGTTGACACCTTTGCTCTGTGTACCTTACACACAGCGCAGTAAGTATAGGGAAGCATAAGGAAGGTGAAGTTTTCACTTCATGGTCAGTCGACAGGCATTGAAGTAGTCGTTCCAGGGTCATAAAAACATGTTAGGATCAATTGACTCCCTTGGGAGAAAGAATAAAGTACATGGGCGTTAACTGTAAGTTATTGAAAGTAACTGTAAAACGTTCAGGTTGGTGTATTCCGTACTGCTGATAAATACCCGCTGGACAGCTGCTAACTGAGCTGGCCAAACTAAGTGATCTTGACTGAGAATCTTCTCTAAGGAGTCACATATCTGAGAGCCATTCATATTGTGCCTTCATCCTGATTGGGTTCTGTATCATTTTAGAAATACCCTTCTGTTTGTGGTGTTAATAGTGATTTGAATTTAAACATTGGAGATTGAATTGTGAAAATTAATTGTTTTTTTTTTTCCCTTTTACTCTCCCCTATCTACAGATGAAGCGTTTTTTGACTCTGACAGGGACCCTGAAAAGTGTTGCTTGCTCTTACAGTTTATTTTGAACTGTTTATATAAAATCTTCCTTTTTGATACTCAGCATTTTATCAGTAAAGAGAGAGCCGAGGCCCTGATGATGCCCTTGGTGGACCAGGTAACCAAATAGAACCATCTTTTTTTTTGACAAACGATGAGGAAGCCGCCATCCTTGTTAAAGTGTTACTAGATTTTATATCTACTAAAAATTACAGCTGCTGGGTTTTCTTCTCCAGGCTTTTTTTTTTAATGAAATTTCTATTTCAAAATTGATTTTTCATTTTGAATGGAAAGAACTCTTCATAGTGGTGTGTACTAAGTTTTACTTTTGAATTTTTCAAATGAAAGGCATGATATAAGGTATTATGGTTAGATTTTTAATTTTCTAAAGTTGGATTTATCGAGAATATTTTAGGACTTGTCTGCTCTCTGGAAGAACTCCTCTCAGCTATTCTGCTGGAGGGAAAGGGGTGATGCTAAGGGCTAGAAGAGTCTGAGCTCCAAAACCGTGGTAAATTTGTTCTAGAGAGAGAGTACTAGAATTACACCTGGTTTTTGAGCCTGCTGCCATCGTGAAAGAGAGTAAAAAATTATTTATACATTGGGTATTTTTTCAAACAAAAAGGAGACTCGTTGCTCAAAGTCCTTGTCTCCCTCTTCATAGCTAGAAAACAGGCTGGGAGGGGACGCACGCTTCCAGGAGCGGGTGACGAAGCACCTGATCCCCTGCATCGCGCAATTTTCAGTGGCCATGGCAGATGACTCTCTTTGGAAACCACTTAACTACCAGATTCTGCTCAAGACAAGAGACTCCTCACCCAAGGTAGGAGCTGTGGTTGACAAGCACCGAAGCTATGTGTATTCATCATACCCAAACAGCCTTAAAGCGGTCAAGGATATAGGACCCTGGTAAATTAGCAGGACACGCTGCTTATCTTCTAGAACTAGAGGTTGCTTGTGAGGCAGAAGTTTGAGCCTGAGAAATTTTTGGTTTTTACTTAAAGGGTATTTATAAATAATAGAAGTCCTCTCCCACCCCCACGTGTTAGACACAAGTACTAACATTTTCTAAATAGTTTTAAATTTTGAAAAAACCTGAAGTAATTCCTCGTGTTTCTTAAGCTGCCCTTAAATGTCCTTGTGTTCCCAGAGACAGACTTTCAGTTTGCCCGCAGAACATTCCTTTGAGTTAGAGCAGTGATATTACCTCCGTTGTATTTATCAGGCTTAGGATTTTGTGGAATAACAAAAGGTAAGCAGCTCACTGACCTGCACAAGGATGAATGGAAATTAAATTCCATGCCTGAGTGTCAGTGTTTTCAAACTGGTTGGCAGTGCATCACCATTTCTCTAATTATCATACAAGAGCCTCAGTGAATAAAACAGACCAAAGCAGAATTTTACTGAAAGGCTTCGTACTTGAAATTTGTAATATTTATTAGAACAAAGAGAACAATGAGGCTATTTTCATGAACCCCCAAATTTTAAATTTCAGGTTCTTACAAAGTTGTAGCATTAAATTTATTTGAATGTTTTGTTTTGATAGTATAATATCAGTAAAGTCTGATTTGAACATAGGTAGTTAAAGACGCTTTTTAAATTAATTTTGCTGTATCCAAATATTTTTTAAATGATCCAAAACTAGGAGGAGGACTAGTACAACTTTGATTTCAAAATGAATCACTGGGGTGCCTGGGTGGCTCAGTCCATTAAGCATCTGCCTTCAGCTCAGGTCATGATCTTGGGGTCCTGAGATCGAGCCCCCCGCATTGGGCTCCCTGCTCAGCGGGGAAGCTGCTTCTCTCTCTCCTTCCTCTTCTGCCCTTCCCCCCTGCCCCCAGCTTGTGCTCTTCCTCTCTTGCTATCTCAAATAAATAAATTCTTTTAAAAACAAAAAATAGTGGATCACTAACAGTGCCCGACGACTGCTTGCATTACTTGTCATAGACCAGTCATGTGAGAGACACCCAAACTTTTTTTAAGTTCCTAGACTAGAACATCATAATACATTAAGTGTTTTTTAATTCTGTGCTGAGCATGAGACCGGAGCCAGCGCCCATCCCCTCCCATGACTGTAGTGGTGACACCGGGTTCTGAGTGAGAGGCCCTGCCTGAGGTGACCAGGGATGCTTTTCAGCCAGGCCAGCGTCATCTCTGACAGCTAGGCGAGCCAATTTGGAATGACACTCTTGAGTTTGTGTGTAGCATTTTATTTTTAAAGGAAAATGTGGGGGCGCCTGGGTGGTACAGTCGATTAAGCTTCTGACTTGGTTTCGGCTCAGGTCCTGATCTCAGGGTGGTGAGACTGAATCCCGCATTGGGCACCATGGTCCAGCACGGAGTCTACTTAAGATTCTCTCTCTCTCTCTCTCTCTCTCTCTCCCTCTCCCCCTTTCCCCCAACTTTCCACCACCTGTGTGCGCATGCGTGTTCTCTCAAAAAAGAAAATGTTATTAAAAACATATTCACATTAAGCCCTGCAGTACTGGAAGACACTTATAAAACACTGGTTTGTAGAAGGTTGCTCATATTATAAACGGAGCCCAAATTGTTAAATTGGTATTCTGAGATGAAAGCTGACTGGACACAAGGGGAGCAAACTCATGTGAAGGAACGTTTAGTGTAAAAAGTCAGAGGCTGTCTCAGGTTAGTCATAAGATATAAATGTGGCAATACTTTTTGGAGTTTTTTTAAAAATCCTCATTCTTTACCTCTTTATCCCTTTCAGGTCCGCTTTGCTGCTCTGATTACCGTGTTAGCATTGGCTGAGAAACTAAAGGAGAATTATATTGTCTTGCTGCCAGAGTCCATTCCTTTCTTAGCTGAATTGATGGAAGGTAATTCCTAAACTACTAAGAAATAATTTCAGTAACATTCTGTGAAAATGTGCCCGGTGGTAATGGAAATGTGGATAGAATGTGATGAGCCCTTGGCTCCCATCCTCCGCCTGCACCGCATCTCCTGCTGCAGACACAGGAGGCTGAGCTCCTGTTTTGAGTAGGGTGGGGAGTGTGCTAGGGGGCTGCCCCAGGATCATAAGAAACTTTGCTCACGGTGTAATCTTCACTACCTTTACTTTTATGTTTATGATGGTAAAAACATACTACAATATGGTTTTTCATCAACCTTGGACATTTAGATCATTGACTATTTTGGTCCCCATAGGGTTATTGTAGTAGAGTGTCTAGTGCCATTAAGGTTGCAGTAGGTTAGCTGCCTGTAAATAATGACCAGCATTTACTCCGTGCTCTGCATGGAGGATCTCATTTAATCCTCACGATGGGCTGTATGCCATTATCCCTGTTTTCATAAAGGAAGAAACTAGAGGCTTGACGAGGATTAGTTTGATAATGTGAGTGTGATAGGTAGAAGTGGGGTTTGAATCCAGCCCTGAGCAGTTGTGGACGTACCGCACACGTGCCACCACGCAGGCCAAGGGAAAACGGTTCAAGTCTTATTAGGACAGACAGAGCCAAGTAGACAAATGGCTTTTTCATATTAATGGTTCACTACTTTTCTAAAAGTACATTCACCTCTGTTTCTTATGTCCTGGACAAGGGGCATCACTAGGAATTCAGAATTTTCACTACTGCACCACTGTTTTGGGGGCTCTGTCTTACTCAGCTTCCAGGTCTGAGACCAAGAAGGGGGGGGTATGCTGAGGAGGAGGAGAGGGGATGCTCTCTGCTGCACTGACGTTTCATTTCCCTCTTTTGACTGAACAATGGCCAGAGAATGCAAGACCTGAAGTATTAGACTAACGATAATTGAAGCAGGAGATTGTTCAGTTTTTATTTTTGTTTTTTAGATGAATGTGAAGAAGTGGAACATCAGTGTCAAAAGACTATTCAGCAACTGGAAGCTATACTGGGAGAGCCGCTCCAGAGCTACTTCTAAAACTTTGGGGTTTTGGTGTTTCTTACTCTGTTCAGAGGTCAGATTTATTTTTCATATTTTTATTTTTGGGTGTTTGGTACCATATTACTTTTGGTACCCTGACACCTATGCGGACTCCTTTACAAAATTCCCCCCTGGTTTGTGATCCCATAGAAACCTCTCCAGCTACCTGTACAGAATTGCAGCAAGAGTAAATGATACCTGGGATTTGTATACAGACTGCTGTGTTTGTTTAAACATTTGCTGAAGTCTTTTCTGATTGAAGTTACTGATATTACGGACGTATTTAATTTGGGCACTCAAAGGTGAAAGTACCTCATTTAGACTGTAAAACCTTAACTCTCTTCCAGAAAGGGATGTCTTATGTACATGGTATCCATGTCAGAGATTTCACTCAAGGTAGCTCTTCAAGAAAAGGACATTACTCAGCAGCAGCACTTTGGACTGTAAAGCGATTTGGAATACTTTTCATTTTGGGTAGATGACACTTCAGCCTTAATTTTTGTGTGTGTGGCCACAGAGGGAATTGGTTCTGGAATACATTTCTCATTTAGGACTACGATTGTCTTTACCCTTCAGTCTTTGGGGGGGGCCAAGGCAGTGGGCTGTGTAGGCAGAGGCCACAAATAGAAAAGGCCCAGAAATACTAGGTGGCATGGCTCCTCCAGGATTAGAAGTGATCACATTTCCACTGATGGTAATCCAAGAATTACTTGTACGATAAAGTATCAGATTTGTTTCAAAGCTTTGAGGTTTTCTAATCTCTGATGTCACGTGAAGTAAAGGCTTTAAAAAAATTAAAATCTGCCTTTAAGGCATTTTATTTACTTAAGGCCTTTAAAAAAATTTTAAAGCATCTAAGACTGCACATAGAATGTTTAGTTTGAAAGCCTTTGTTCTAATACAGAAATTTAGTGCAGAATTGTGATGAAACAAAAGGCTAAATTGCAGCTTTGGAGAGATACCACTTGCTAGGAATGTGTACTCCCATCTAAGAAATCTCTTGATAAGATTAGTAAATGTTAACAGCTTCTTCTTAAAACACATTAATATTTTGGGTTTTTTTTCCTGTCAAAATCTCATGTCTTTTTTAGTAATACTTGATGTTTACGCTTTTGTTACACATGAAGGTATGTTTAGGTATTAGAGGAAACAATGTATGTGTGCTTTTATTTTTCTCTGAGTAAGCCCTCTGATGTTCTTTAGAAAGGGGGAAAAAAAAAAAACCCTGGGGATTCCTTCTACAACTTTCCCAGTTGAAAGTCAGGACCCCCCTCCTCCACCTCCCATGAGCTTGGCAAGATGCAACATAATAAATTAACATGAATAGAAAAGAATTAAGTGCCAGAAGCTTCTACACTGAGTACTTCTAAAAAATCAGATTGCTAGTCTTATTATTTGTACCCATATACCAAAAAGACTATCTAACCAAAAATCTGTAATGAAAATATTTGTAAATGCTGGCAGCATATTCAGCCCAGCAGTTTAACAGATAAAATGATCAAACTGATTCAGCTTTTTTTTTTTTTTTTTTTTTACCTCCCCACTCCCAAGCCTTGGAAATTTCTTGTAACAAGATCTGACCTGTAAGAATTGTACAAAGAACTTCTGCCAACTCGCTTCAAAGAATAATAGAAAAAATTACAGAAATGCAACAATTTAACGTGCTGATACAGGTTTGATTTTAATCACTTAAAGTAGAACAGTGTTTTGATCTCCGTCGCTGATGATGAGGGACTAATCTTTAGAAGAGCTGAGAGGCAAGGTTGGTTTGGATGAGGCCAAGAACAGACTGTTACACCACTTCTCTCTGCTCCATTGGTCTCAGTGTAGTTTACCCTCTGATTGATAGTGCCTATTTTATGAACAGTCATGAAACCTCATCTTGACATTGTTTCGTTGAAGGCTTCTACCTTAAACTTTTCTACTGGAGTATGTGTAGACTTCGGACTCACCCTGAATTCAGGTACTCTAAGCATTTACTGGTACAGACATCAGGGGCCTGACATCAAGTTAATTTTAATACCATTGGTTTTGTTTTGCTGTGTTTGTTTTTTGCCTTAATCTTTGTGCTGTGTTCAGATTTCGTAGTGTTAAATTACTCGGAAATGCTTACAGCTAGTACAGCTGGGTATTTATCGTGCTAAAGGAAACTGCCAGATGTAAGGCAACATCAGTCCTTTCCATTATGGGATATGATTGAACTTTGGGTATGAAAGTGATCGATGGAGAAGTAATGTTTTGTAAATTAGTTCATGGAGGTGATTTCACAGCTGAGTAATTATCTCTGGTTACTTTATGTGATTAATGCCTGTAGAAAAATCAGTGGAATGATATGAGAGCAAAGAAGATTCTGAGCTCAAGAGAACAGGGAACAGAGTGGCACTGTGCTCCACCGTATACTTCTATCCACAGCTCCTAGCACAGGGCTGACAGAGAATAAGTGCTCCATGCACATTAGCTTCTGTATCAACCGATACTTGTTGAATGTGAAGCAGAGGCCAGAGTGGGAGAGAGAACAGGAAGGCCTGAATAATGACTTTTTAAGTTACCTGTTGCCTCAAATGTCCTTAGTCTGTGCTAGACAAAGCCACAATGCGTGGCAAGGACTGAGAACACCTAGGAGGACTTCATGTTATGCAAGCTCATTTTAACAATATATATACACAAATATAATAGATGCATTTTAACAAGGCCAGGGTTACATAAGCCATTCTGTATTTCAGTTTTTGTAGCAAGCATATCAGCTACCAGCTCCTTACTTCCAGTAAGTGAATATCTCCATCAATTTCCAGCGTGTCAATATCGCTAAGCTCTTTAAACCTGTGTTTGTACTCCAGGCTGTGTACACCATTTACCGCAACCTTGAATTCTCTAGCATCACAATAAATTATCATCTGGAAGGAAAGTACACACAACATTAGTGGCTCCTCTTGGTTTAACATTTTTTGTTTTTTGCACATTAACAGAATATCAAAACGTAAACCCACTGGGTTTGCTTTATACACAGAGGCGTTCTCCCAGCTTGCTGCTGTTAACTTCTAAGACTGTTAACTTCTAAGACTCTAAAGTTTATCTGGTAGTAGCACCTTCTGCCTTGTCCCACTCAGGGAAGTGACTCTGAGTATGCTTGGAGCCTCACACTGTCCCCAGGGCCTGAGGCCTCCATGCCCTCCACACGTTACCTACACTGTGCCCTTTCCTGCCCGTCGCTCCCAGCAAAGTTGCGCCCCCCGCCCACGTTTGGGAACTGTAATGACGTCAAAAACTGCTGCCAGATTGACACAGAGGAGCGGATTCCAGCTTACGGGTTGAAAACCAAGGGACTTTTCTGCCTTAAACTCTAGGGTCTTAGACAAATCACACAATCAAAAACGTCAGAAGTTTAGGGCACACTCTAGGACTGCACAGCTGCGTGGTGACCCTGACTTCCATCCCAGCTCAGCACATCTTGGTCTCCATCTGTTTCCCAAAAGCTCAGGATTCTGTGAATCCACAGAGGAATGAGCATTCTGGCAAAGATTCAATTCAGATTCATGACTGGTGTGAGCCTTTCAGAGTTGTCTTTGCCTAAAACTCAAAACAGCGAAAACCAAAAGAAACTACAATCACTTTTACACCAAAAACTCCTACTTCTGGTAACACATTCCCGATGCCAGTCAGCCACAATTCTGCCAGTTGTTCTCCACTCACACTCAAAGGACCAGTTTGGTGAACCTGCACTGTGTTCTCCCTTCTGTCTCTTCCCTCTGTCAAGGCTTCAGAAGAGCAGAAAGGAGCAGCACAACCCTGCTGCTAACCCGGCTCCATCCCCAGGGACCAGGCTGAGGCAAAATCCAAATCTGCCAAGAAGCAAAGACTGTATTTATTCTTTTGCTCTGACTAGTGAAAGTGGCTGTGAGGGGAAATTCCATGGATAAAAGAGGTGACAGAATCAAAGGCTTTAGAGCCATGTAGAGAATTGGGGAAAATATCCATAACCTGGGATTCTGTCATCCTCACAACAGTGGTGGGAATCCCAGTTTCAACCAGGTGGAAGGGACCCTTGGTGAGGTACCTTTAACGAAATCTCAAGAGAACACAAAATGCAGCCTCATGCCCAGAAGGGGCAATAGAGGGGCACAGTGGGAAGAGTCCATCGGTCCCCCGCATCGTACCAGAGCAAGCGCGGCACCACTGCTTTACAGATGGAAGGGAACCATCTGCGGCCCGGGGAACATACTACCGCCGAACAAGTACAAAACGGGCAAAAGGCCCACAATCTATAAGAAAACATGGAACAACAAAATCCCTCACAACCATCTGATGTTCTAGAACAGCTCATAACAACCTGATCTGATGATAAAAGAAATTACAAAACTGAAAGATATTTTTTAAAAGACTGTGGCAGCTGAATAAATGAATCTGAAACAATAAGGAACAGAAGATACTGGTTAAAATCAAGCTAATGGCATAATGGAATAGTCCCAGAATCTCAATGAAAGCATATTAAAAAGGCAGGAGTTTGAAGCAGTTAGAGAAAAACCAATCACTACAGAAAATTAAAAACAGTGGTCCAACATGAGGGTAATTACTGTTCCTGAGGTAGAAAACTAACAAAAGGAAAAAATGATTATTTAAAAGAATTCTTGTCCTTTTCCATCTTAATACAGAACCAAACTTGGGGTCGGTTCAAAGAACAAGTTATGTCACTGGTTTCCTGTCACCAGCCCCAAGGATCCACTTCCTTCTGGAGCAGTCACCTCTGTCTCCTGCCAGTGAGCCCCCAGTCAGACTCCTGCCAAGCCAAGAAACCCCTGTGCTGCACTCCCCACCTCAAATCATCCCCTCAATCTGGAAAACCCACCTTTAACTTCACCCTCCTACATCCTTCTGAATTCCAAACCAATCTCCACACCTTCCAGGGCACCTCCTACGATTAGGGCACATTTGTTACTCCACATACCGGGAACTTACGAATACACATGAATGTCCGATTGCCTGACGTTCCTGCCTTTAACAGCTAGTTTTGATGAGTCCTTAAAGAACTCAACTTAATGGTCCAGAGCATGTGACAGTTTGGAGAACGTAGAAGCATGACTTAAATCCGTGACCCTGAATGACCACATAAGGCAGTGCTTCACCTAAGCTGGTGAGTGAACCTAGCCAACCACGTCAAGACTACTGTGTGCTCAGCATCCAGAAACACATTTTGGGAAAGGTTGTGTGACCATAATATTCACACATTTGGGGGACTCAGGACCATATGTCTTAGTAAGGGTCTAAACATCTCTCCCCTTGAATAATATACAAACAGGACTAACCTGGAAGAAAGGACTGCCACCTACAGCTATATATAACCAAGACGGCAGGTGACAGAGCAAACAACTTTATGGTTCCTGTGTCCTTATGTTCACTTAGGTAATATCCTAAACCTGTTTCTCTGTCCTGAGGCAAGGTTCTGGTTAAAATTCCTATGAACTAATATGGGGCCACGCAGTAATAATTCCAAGCCAACCAGGTGGTATTCTACTGGCTGCGCCACTTACACCGACCAAAGTACTGTCTTTTGAACGCCCCTTTCATAATGCAGACCCTCTCCAAATAAAAGCCACGCGCAATTTCCACGTATTAAGCTAGGACTTGAGTTAAAAAGACCATTTATCCTACCCCTCCTCTCAGGATTCTTTGTCGTGTCCCATAAGAAAATCTTACCTCAAAGTACATCCCAGGACTAAATGGGAAACAGGTAATATTTCTCTCTTCTTCTCCCCAGGACTCATGAAGAAAAGAATTTCTTACAAATGCTTTCATATTCAGCCGTGGGTTCAAGTGAAGAGCAATATCCTTTGATTTTCCTGATACTAGGTTAACATTAAAGCTTTTGAGAGAATAAAAAAACACAAAATTAAGTTGAAGACAGCAGTGCGGTTTCTGCAATTTTAACAATCAGAACTGAGCTCTCATCACAACTACACAAAACACGTGCACACAGATACAGGAATGCAGATGAAGGTGAAATTTTAAATTCGGAGTTAGCATTCCACTGATGTAAATATGCTCTTTGCAAAATAAAAATCTAAAAAACTTGAACATCAGAGTTGAGACCTCGGATCTGGGTGGGAAGCAACCGAAGGGTTAGAGCAAGTAACCTAAATGCTGCTTCAGGCTGCAGGAGGATACGGTCCTCTCAAGTACTATTCTCTTTTAATATTTACAACTGTTCTTGAAAGTGATTGCTTTCTAGGAAATAGCTAATTTCAAGCTTTCAGAAGTCTGAACGTCTCTAGAAAAGGTTCTTAAGCAGAAATTCTACAAGTCACATGACGTGAGGGGCCCTAACGCGAGTCACCTGACCTGCCGGCTGCCCTGGAGTTCTACAAGGCACAGGTGGGCTTCCCGGACAAAAACGCCACCCTCTCGTCTGGCCACAAAAAGCCTAGCTCAAAACACTGGCCTTTAGTCCTGATTCTGCCACCAGCTAGTTGTTAGCAGTCTTGTTGGCAGCCTGACCTCCTGTGGCTTTGACAGTCTCACCTTCTCAGTGAGGATCAGGACCCTACTCCTCTCCCAGGTCACAAGACTGGTAGGGCTATAAGGCAGTAAGAGACGTGCGGGCAAAGTACTCACACTAGTCCTGGTCACAGTGATACTGACCCTTTGGCAGTTTTATTCACTTCTCCTTTAATGAAGACGGTTCGTCCAGGGCCCATGGAGGAGTTCAACCTCGCAGTGAATGGCAGAGTCTGAGGAGAAACCACAGTCAGCACTAGGAAGCCTGCAGAAAGTGACCTCATGGGAAAACTGTCCAAAGACACGGGGCAATGTTTAAAGCCCTGCCCCTGTGAGCCCCAGCGGTCAGCACCGCCCGGCTCACAGCAAACACTCAAGGAAAGCGTTTCGGGGGAGGACATGAATGCACGTGAAGTGGGGCCTGAGTGAAACACACTCCGAGAACCTCGCCTACACTTGGGGTCTGCAGCCGTGCTCCACATTCTGCCTGAGGGGAAGCAGCCCCGGGGGGGAGCATTACAGAAAAACAGCCCAGAGCCTCGATGCCCAGCTGACTCTCCAGGGTCAGCACAGAAAGGCAGAGTGGCTGCTTTGGGCTTCTACTGAGGGTAGAAGTTACACATTACCAGCTAATTGAAACTTAATTGGTTATACGGAATTAAGAAAATTTTTGGCTCTTCAAACCTTTGACAAACAGCTGGTAGGTAGTATTTTGGCGCAAGTCAAAGTGTGATTGGCAGTCGAACCTTTGCTCTTGGTGTAGACAGTTCTGGGTACGGTTTTAGAAATGTCTCCTCTATTACTAGGCTGTTGGGGAAAGAGTTCTGCAGTAAGGTAGGGAAGGAATGAAGCTATCTTCTAAGGTTTAAACTATTCATGTCCTGGGTGATTTTATAAAACATTCCATGTTATAACCTAGGCAAAAATACTTACAAAATGTGGTGTGTCGGACTTCAGTACCTATTGGAAGAGAAAGTCAAAGTGAAGACATTTGAAAGGGGAAAATTACATTTTATAACATGAGCAGTCAGATCTTACTGGTTATAACGGCCAGAGCCTGCGCTTCCTGACGGGGTGGTGCGGACTTTGATGGGCTACTCAGGCTGGGGATACAGTCTCATGGTCCTGGTCACCTGAAGCCGGTATCCTCCAGCATAAATTAATTTTTCGTAGGACTACACATGAACTTAAGACATGTTTTACTTGTTCTTTCCAAGGTGCTCCCAAAATGCTGAGATACTATATTCCATCTATTAGGTCACATGTTCCGAGACCATTAAGGCATCACTTTCTCCATTAATAACAGAGACTCAGTGTTTAGACTGTACTTCTTCCTACTAGGGAGAAGATGTATGTGGAAGTTCGTGTGTCAAGGCACCGTGTTCAGTATTTACAAATACCGTGTGCCAGTTCTCTTCAACAGTTAAAAGAGAGGGGTTTGTTTGTTTTTTTACATAAGAATGGTGGGTAGTGGGGAGATACACTGAGAGCTCGAGCATCTGCAAAACATACAGTGACTGGGACAGAAGGAAATGCCTTAATTTTCAAATGCTTACTTCCAGCCTATTAATAATTAATTAAAAATATTTTTTCACATTAAAAACATTATTTTAAAAAACTCAGCTTGCCTGCCACTTGATTTACATGGAAACTAAAAGAACATTTTTAAACTGGTAGTTCATAAAAAGATTTAATATTTACATTTTCTTTACTTATCTCTGTCAGTTCCAGAATAGATGCTTGGGTACTTCTGAAATCCTGAAGATAAGATTAATTTTTAACATCCATCAGAATTCTAAATACAATCTCCCTGACACATCAAAAAGAAAGAATTATAAATAATACTAAACATGAAAGCATGCTTGAAAATTATAATCCAAAAATGTACTTCACATTAGGGTCCTTTCCCCTATCAGACTGGCAAGCGTTACAGAGACTAAGAACAAGCATCGAGAAGAATGTGAGCAAGCGGGCATGGCTGCTGAGACTTCACCGCTGGAAGTCTTTTTGGAGAGTGAGCTCACCAGCCCTCCAACTAGTATCAGTTGTAACTTAAAATGCACATACCCTTTGACTCAGACTTTCTACTTCAAGAATTGATTTTCGAGAAATCCTCCCCTGTACTCCTATGTCAAGGAATTAGCCCCTGTTAAAAAGGGTTTTTGTTTTGTTTTGTAATAACTGTTTTGGGTTTTGTTTTTGTTGTCGTCGTTAAAACCATTCTAGATTTGAGCTCCTATAGACATTAAAGCCCTGGCCAATACACAGCGTGCTACCAGTCTGAAAGATTTACTTCCAAGAAATTAATACACTAATGATGGAAACATTTACAGTATTTTTATCTTAACAGAAGACGTTAAAGATATTTCCTACCGTTTCATCAGAAGACATCACCGAAGAAGACCCCAGGCCATGGAAGGGTACTCACCGAGCTGAAGCTATAACCAACTGAGTGGACATTCACTTTGCCATAAATGCCCAGAGTGTCTATTTTCCCTGGGCTAATCCTGTGGGCATAGAGCAGTGTATGTTTCCCATTTACAGCCACCTAAATGGAAGCAGAAGACAGCCCAGCACCCCCAGAAAAACAAAACAAAAAAACAATTAATACATTTAGTAATGTATCCAAATTTAAACCAAATTTAAATAGTGGTTACTTGGGTTTAATTTCATATCTTTGCCCACAGGCCTGCACATTACATGTCTGACCAAACTGAAAAGCATCCATAATACTAGCAGTGTTTCTTAACTTCCTTTGAGAAACCACCATAGACGCCCCGCCCCGCTGACATTATGCGTTCATGAGTATGTGTGCATTTGCATGTGTGTCCCTGTGCATATACATGAGTCCCCCGATGCCCTAGGCCTGTGAACACCCCGGTTGGTGATCTGCCCTGCAAGCTTGCCACCCCACCCGCTGTCTTTGAGGACCACACTCTAAGGAAGACCACCCTGCACATGGCAGGTGTTCAGTAAATATCTGTTGAATCTGCTGAACGAAGGGACATGGGCAAGCTACCCAGTTCAGCTGCAATTCCTAGTGTAAGGAGGAAAAGGCTCTCCCTCAAAGAATGGGCTGCTGTTGTGAGGAGACCATGAAGTCACTCCTGAGAGTCAGGCAGCACACGGCCTGCCGGCAGGAGTCCACTCCACATGGCTCTCTGACCCTCCCTCCCGGGTAGGGGATGTCAGGAAAACACAGGCGATGCAAACCGGTCTCCGACCTCAAGGAGCTTAAAATCCCACTGGCGGGTAAAATCAACAGGAAAAGGCACCACAGAACAGGACCGAGCGTTTTAAAGAATGCTACAGATACAGGTGCTCAGAGCGCCAGGGAGGGGAGGGAGGAACGGAGCTCGGGAGATTCAGGGCAAGTGTGTTGGTGGGAGCATATCCCAGAGGACAGAAAGGACCCGCGCCAGAGACGGGAAATCTTCACTCTAAGCCGAGCGGATCTCTAGTCTGGGAGGCTCGGGGCTCCTCGGGGCTTGAGGGCAAGTGCGCCCCAAGCCTCTGGGGCCACCTGCTAACCTCACACGTATGCACTAGTACGTGCAGGGTGTTTACCGCTTGAAGTCAGCAGTGGGATTTACTACACGTAGGACTTCTAGGACCTCCTCTGCATCTAAAATCTCATGATCCTAAAGAACTTGTGGCAGGACTTAACTGACTCCGTATCCAGCTGTTAGTTCCGGATGCCCCCACACTTTGGGCCACGGTGACCACAGCTGACTATCCCATATTTACACGATGCTGTGCCAATTCAGATCTAAGCTCAGCCACGCTAGAAACAGGATCTAATAAGAAGGTTTGGCTGCCCTGGACCCATATTCTGGATGAAACAGCAGGGCAGACAGAGGTCGTGCCCCACCTCCCATTTAGGTACCCCCCCGACCCCTACTTTTGAGCAAAACGATAAAGCCACTCTTTTTCTCTGAACTGAAACAATAGAGGGGTGCAGAGCTGCCCTGGGCGCTTATGGCCATTCATGAGGATTCCACCTACATTCTCTAAAACCTACCTGGAATTTGTCTTTCAACACCATCATCACAATTTCAAAAGATTTTTCTTTTTTGAAAGGCACGTCGTAGGTGATCTCTTCCCATCCCCATTTTTCATTTTTCAGAGTATTGCACACGATGCAGTTGGACCACTTGAAACGCGGGTTGAAATGAAAGGCTACGTCAGCGCGCGGCTTCACGCTGCTCCCACACTGCAGATCCACCTGGAACCTGCGAGAGCAAGGACCGAGGGGCCGCGTGGGCACTTGGAAGGAGGCTGCAGGGGAAGGCCCAGCAAGCACGAAACTCCAGCCTCAGTGACCCATGACTGATCCTCTGTTCCTTCACCCACGTGGCCTGAATACCTTCTTACAGAATCTTCCTTCCCTTCCTCAGTGCAGAGCCCTGAGCTGTGGCTGGGGCCCCATCTGTGCAGAATAAGAGCCAGAATTTTCCAGCCTCCCTGGCAGGCAGGCATCCTGGAGAGACTGCCGAGGTGGAAGTGTTCAGGGCAGGCTCCTGAATGGCCCGAAGTCAGCCAGCATCTGCCTTCTTTTGTCCACCCCCCTCCCCTGCCCACTCCTCCCAAACCCCACAGGCACCCACCCAGACACCCAAAACATGGTGTGAGGGCTGGATTTCTAGCTGCCGTGAGCCCTGAGGAAGAGGACCTCACCCTAGGGATAGCAGAACTGTGAGCCGGGAGAGGCCTGCTTCTCTAGGTTCTGTGGAGTTGCCTGGAAACGTGTGGGATGTCTTCTTCAGACCTGACTTCCACCGCTGTTATCCGGGCATCAGCCACACACAGCTGGCCCAGCTCGAACTCAGACAGCCTCGCCCACAGTTTGTACCCAAAGCAAGCGTCACACAACTTGCCCAGGACGGATCTTAAGCGATGCTGTGGGAATGTTATGCTGTAACTAGACCTTGTCCCTGAGGTCTGACCACAATTCCCATCATGAACCAGATCTCTAATCCTTTATATTCAAACCACTCACTGTAATTAAACACCGAAGTGACCTTTATTTCGGTCATTTACTCCCATCTCCTTGGTACCTGCGCCGGGGCTGCTGATGAAAGCAAAACCAGGCCTCAAAGTACCAAAACGGTCTCCCCACAAAAAGACAGTTCAGTCGTGTTCCTGTTTCATCTAACATGATGGCTTTACCTGTCCGAATCACAGGGCACATGCCCACGTATTACAATCAACGTTCCAGGCTCCAGCTCCCCAGGAATGGTCCCAACATAGGGGATTACCTAGGAAAAAATAATTTTAACAAGTGGATGTTTACATAAAACAGACTACATTTTGAAAGGCTGCATGTAAATCTCGGAATCTAGCATTTTTCCAAGTCACTATTCAAACAGGATAGTGACAGTGTCTGAAACTTCTTTGAGTTCTTTACAGAGAGACACAGCTGAAAGTTCATAGACTTTTTTATTTGGCTGGGGATTTTGTGAAATAAAACGTCTACTTAATAGGATAATTCTGATAACAGAAAAAAAAAAAACTTGCTGGAAGTCCTGTCCCCCTCCCCCTCCCTTTCCCCTAAAGTTCCACTGATGATCCCAACACGGGACCGAGATCATGCAAGGCCCCAAGCCTGTGTTGATGGAGGCAGTGACACTCGCTCACTGCCTGCGGAGGGGGCTCCGAACATAGCCCCTCCTCCACACCTGGGATCCGAGTGTCTCATCTTCCCTGCCAGGCTTCCAGACCACAGCCCAGGCCTCCAGACCCTTGCCGGGAATCAGAACCGCATGATCTCAGGGGTGATTCTGGGTGCCTGTGGTCTCTCGAGAGACAGCACCCACCTGGCCTGGCTTGGTCCAGTCTGCAGGGTTAGGTTCCAACACAGTATCCAGGTCTCAGCCTGCCCCCCTCATCACCTGGAACCCAGCCTTTCTGTCCAGGGCTGGACACACTATCAGATCTTGTCACTTTCCCAGAGGTGACTCCACCATCCTCCCCACCCCCTGGCTGCACCTCCTGCTTCACAACCATTGCCCCTTCCACTCGGGGGCATCTGAGCAAGCCAGGCGGGCCAGATGCCATCATGCTTTACACCAAGCTCACCCCAGTTAGGACATAAATGCTAAAATCTATGCAAGGTAGCTCTGATTGTCAAGAAATAAGACCTAAAATGAGAGGGCATATAAAAGTAGTTGTAGATTGGCCATTCCTAAGCTGAAAATCTTAGCACAAGCACCATCTCCTCCATGGAGCCTTTTTCAGACCCCGTGGGCTAAGGGACACTGCCCCTCTCTGAGGACCCCTCACAGCACGAGACACGGCCTAGATCGTAAACTGCGCAGGGCAGGCCTAGGTCGGCACCTTTACACGCCCACAGCTGAGGTCAGGAGCCGGTCAGTGGTTGCACGGTGAAGGAGTGAGTTCTCACCAGCCCAGAAACTGGGTTCTAGCAAACCGCACATACCCAGACCAGCAGCAGCTGAGTAGTGTCTCAACAACACGTCTTGCTGCCTTAACCAGTGAGCCAAGCCATGACCGAGAATAGCAGAAAAGGACGGAAGCCCGCTGTTACCTGGTGTCACCTCGTGTCACCTGGTGTCAGGACAGCTGCTGAGAGCAAGGTGGGTGGGAGGAGCAGAGCCCATCCCACCAGAAAACGCCACGTCAGAGTGGCGACAGCCCCATGCCAAAGCAGCTGGGTGTTGGGTGGAGAGGATATGGAAGGAATTACGCGTCCACACTGATCTTCTGGGCCACAGCCGATTCCAGGAAGAGCCAGCAGGACCCTCCGCAGGGGAAATCTCTTAATCGACTGAATAGTTTTTGTAACTTCAAATTTTATATACATTCCAATTATATTTATGCGGAATATTTAATGATGCAAAAATGTTAGGGATAAAAATATTAGTGAGAAAAGAGCCTGCAGAACTATACACAGTATGATCTTACCTAAGTTAATGATAAACATTAAAAAAAGAAAACACTGTAATGAAATAAACCAAAAATGTTAATAACAGTTTTCTTGAGGAATGGGATCTTAATTCTCTTCATGTATTTTTATATTTTCCAGCTCTCTACAGTAAGCATTTATATTTTTACAACCACAAGTTTTTATTATATATTTAACTTTAGGGTTGGAAAGAGCTTTCTGAGACCCAATAATCTACCCGTCACTGCCAATAAGTTCTTCACAATGGTTAATAAGTCGTTGCAGTCTGAGAAACAACAGTGCTGAACACTTTTGCCATTTGCTCTTTTAGTTGTCTGGATTAACACTTCCTACTTAGGAAAGTTCCCTCCATGGTATCAGTCATACTCAAGTGATTTGGATCATGTGAGTGACACGAAATACCCTGTAGCTTTTTTTTTTTTTTTAAGATTTTATTTATTTGACAGAGAGAGACACAGCGAGAGCAGGAACACAAGCAGGGGCAGAGGCAGAGGGAGAAGCAGGCTTCCCACCGAGCAGGAAGCCCAATGCGGGGCTCGATCCCAGGACCCTGGGATCATGACCTGAGCCACCCAGGCGCCCCCTGCAGCCCACTCCTTGAACTCATGACTATTTGCTCCCGTGAAAAGGGAGGAGGACGCCGTTTTGTAGGTGAATGTCAAGCTTTGATGTTTCACGAATAATTTATGTAAAAAAAATTAAAGCACAGTTCTGATCACACTGGGGACAACACTATAAGCTTAAGCCATACTTGTGTTTAGCGTTACCTGCCGGAACATCCTAGCTGACTCACAGTGCTCTGCCTGCTTTAGGATTACTTCTGCAATGTCCCCTACCCACAAAGGTCTCTCCTCGGTGGACTCTGCAGCTAAAAGTATGCGCGTCCTGTCCGGGAGGAGCCTGTAAAGCAGCCGGGAAGAAGTCAGATCCCCGTGGAAATGGGATACTCGGGCTGTTCAGAATCACAATCTTCTTCCATATCTAGAAGATCCTCACTCAGCCTCATCTTGACCGCAGGGAAGGGCAAGGGCATAGGACGAAACTCGGCCACTCGGGCCCCCCTGACCTTCCAGACAGGAAGTGAGAACCAGCAACAAGAAGCCGGGATCCCTGAGTGGTGGCTCTGCCGGCAGGCAGCAGCTGTCCCCAGGGTGGGAGGCAGGGCTGGCCCGGGTGGGATTGCGGTGCACAGGGACCCTTTTGGTGGGAAGAGTCGTACAGCACGGCTCTGGGTGTCGTCTGTGATTCTGTAGTTGCCAAGTGTGGTTCTTCAGTCCTGCTAGAGAGTCTGAGAACTACTGAGTATCACTGAATAAATCCCTCTTCTGCTTAGACTGGCCTCTGGGCTTCCAACAACAGACGATAAGTTCAACATCTTCAAATACAGGGCACCAGGTCGGTGCTTCAGAAGAATGTATAGAATTCCAAGTTGCCCAAAGAACGTTGATAAGGAGCGTGGTGTGAGCTGGGCGGTTGGGAGGGGCAAGCCCGTTCTGATAGAGATGTCCGTTTACAAAAGCAGAGAGGCAGGAAAAGCAGAAACAGATCCGGCAGACAGTGAGCAGGAAGGGGGCAGTTCAAGACGGCGGGGGAGAGTGTACAATGAGATCATGAAGGCGGGGCTTGGGGGCCACGGTCCAGCGGGGTACAGAACGCTGGAGCGCAGCGGATTCGCTGGGAGCCAGACACAAGGACACAAGCCAGGCGATGGGGGTAGGCCCTGGGGGACGCGGGGAGGAAGACACAGGACCACTTCAAAGGAAACGATCTATAGGGGCCACCGTCTAAAATGGTGAAACCGGGGAGGAAACAGATTTCAGGAGGAAGAGGAGTTTAGTTTTGAACACGTCTTGTGTGACGGGTTGGGAGAACATACACCGAAAGGAGTGGGGGATCCAGGGCCACACGGTGAGTGAGTGCTCCCAGTCAGAGCAGAGAGGATTATTAAAGGGATCGAGGCAGATAAGCTGAGAGAAAGGACAAGGCAGGGGCAAAGGTTTGGAAAATGGTTTGGAAAATGCGGGAGTACGCAGGAGAGAGTTCACAAAGCAGATGGGACTGCTAGCCCTGCAAGGCCCCCTGACGAGGCTGGCCCTTGGCTGGGGTCTAGGAACTTGGATCTGGGGAGAGCACCCACCACCCAGACGGCCAGGGGTGGTCTCCTGTACCTAAACTGTGCAAGCCATGTAGCGTATGCTAAAGCCCGCCTTCCTCTTGGGAGTCCGGCACGGCGGTACGTGTTAGCGCAGTCCACGTGCCCAGCTCCCGAGCGAATCCCCAGGCAGGGACTCTTGGGAGCTTCCCTGGGGGGGCCGCATTTCGCACGCACTGTCACAGCTTGCCGCTGGGGGATTTCAGTACATCCTGGGGGAGTCCACCGGGGGACGACCCGCGGAACCTGGCACCTGGATTCCCCTGAACTTTGCCCCCTTCTGCCTTTCCCTTAGTGACGTTGCTCTGTATCGTTTCACTGTAATAAACCATGGCCGTGAGGAGGACTATGTGCCAGTGAATCATCACACCTGGGTGTGTGTGTGTTGGGGACCTCGACTCGGGGGGGTGGGGAGAGAAGGATCGGTCAGCTGGACACCCCAAGGAGGTCAGTCTCAATATGGCAAGACTGTCAAAATCCTTAACATGGAAAAATAAGGAAGATTTAAAAAAAGATAATGAAGTGGGTATCATGCTCTTTGACCCAGTGATTCCTTTTACAGACTGACCCTATAAAATTCGGGCACACATGCATAAGGATGCGCATACCAGGCTGTACCCCAGGGCGCTGGGTCCCATCACAAAAGGAAACAGTCCTTTCATGGGAACTGGCTGAAAAAGTGACGGTATCTCCATCCGAGGGACCAGTCACGCGGCCCTGATGATAAGCGAGGAAATCCCAAGTGTGCTGAGAGCTCCAAAACGTGTTCAGTGGGGAGAGCAGCACCCTGGGCAGTGTCTATGCAGGCACCATTGGAGATACCACGGGGTGGGCTTCTGGGCCGCTTCCATAAAGCGAAGACAGCAAAAAAGCTGTTCAGATACACTCCGGGGTTTCCCAGAGCATAAAGATGTTTACATGACACGGAAGTCTATTAAGTGCGCAATGGCATTATACCTAAAAGAAAAAAAGGTACTTTCCTTAATTGAAAAATATTGCTACAAAATGCCAACCATCGTCTGAGCTTTCAGCAGGTTGTAATCCCCGATCACTGTAACTGATATAATAATGAAAACGTGTGAAATGTTCCAAGGATTTCCAAATTGTGACACAGACGTGAAGAGAGCAAATGCTGTTGGGAAAATGGTACTGACGGACTTGCTTGTCGAGGGAAGCACCATAAAACGAGGTCTGTAGTGTGGTACACACGTGTGAAGAAACAGGACCAATAACAGTGGTACACAGAGCACACACACTCTTGGCTATTCATGTGTATTCTTGGGAAGGGTTTACAGAAAACTGGTAAATAGGGTTGCCTTCAGGGAGGGGAACCGAGCACCAGGGCAGAAGGAAAATTTATGGGTTCGTGTAACCCTTAAATACGGTTTTAATTTTTAAAAATGATTTACACATACTATGTTTAGATTTTAAAAATAATAATAAAAAAGGCAAAGCCACTGGGTTTGACATAAGTGAAATTAAGTTTGGAACACAGATTATCTTCCAACGATTTAGGGCTTGGCGGCGTGGGAGGAGGCAAAGTTAAACCGCAGAAAGACACGGAAAGGAATGGAAGCCCGCAAAAGGGAAGCTGATTCGGGGAGGAAGACGTAACTGTAGATACGAACTCCGGAGTCTTGAAGCAAGGGCATCTGAGAGCCTCAGAGAAAGGGCCAGAACTGCTCACATGCTGTGTACGTACTCAACAGTCGAGCGGTGATCAGTAAAGACACAAGATGAAGAGAAGGACATGACTAGTAAAGACAAAAAGGAAATTAAGAAAGAGTAAAAAAAAAAAACAAAACAAAACATCAGAGGGCAGAGCTGTGGTAAGCAAACCAAGGCAGCAGAACGGACGCGTTCTCAGGACGGCGGCGAGCAAGGCGAGAGAGAACAGGAAGACACGAGGCCAGACGGGACCTCGGAGGTTAAGAAAGATTTTACTGTCTTGTGCTTTAAGATTAAGTGGTAAGGCGGAAAGGGGGGTCCTCAGAATACTAAGGAGAAAGGGATGAAGGTGGAAGTGTTCCCAAGGAGACTGGAGGATGTTTTGGCGCCAGGTGGAATGAATGTTAACAACCAATTTGATTCATTGCTAAGTAACTGCTTAACCAGCTAACACTCAGTCACATGTTAAGAACTGTATAAACAACAGTCAGTGAAATAAATCAGGTATGAAAAAGCACACAGGACAGTTACAGAGTGTACTTTATTTTTTTCCAAGAAGACTTAATATGGACAGAATTTGCTGCCAGTGTGGATGGAAACTTTCGAAACATTAAGGAATAAAAATTAAAAGGCGGTAGTTCTGTGTCTTCATAATGCTTCATAAAGCTTACAGTAAAAAGCCAGTAAACACATGCGTGTCCACACTGCTTAAGCTCTTCTCCATTTGCAGCTAGCTGCCCTTTCAGTGTTCAAAACACAATGGGGAAAAAAACAGAGGCCGCAAATAACTTAGATATTTTAGGTATTAAATTAGATATTAAATTAGATATTAAATTAGATATTAAATCGATTAGGATATTGTATAAGCTAGACTTAAAAAGAACTATTTTCTTGCGTTATTTTGTTAGTGATCAGTTCAAAAAACTGAAGAAGAGCTTAGCAGTGTGAGCACTTGGTGCTATGAATATTTATTTAAGAAGTTAAATTTAAAGATGGAGCACAATGTCATTTTTTTAAAAGATTTATTTATTTTAGAGAGAGAGAGATTGAGAGACAGAAGGGGGGCAGAGGGAAAGAGAGTATCCCAGGCAGACTCCCCGCTGAGCACGGAGCCCGACTCAGGCCTCCATCTCATAACCCTGAGATCACAACCTGAGCCAAAATCAAGGGTAGGACACTGAACCGACTGAGCCACCCAGGCACCCCAGCAAAATGTCATTTTTGCTATGCGGTTCAATCTTGCTACCTCTACCCTTTTCTGCTTGTGAAAACGGACTATAAAACTGAAAAACTGAAAAGAAAAAAAAAAGGCTATTTGCCAGAAATATTTACTTTGGAAGAAGATGTCACCATAAATTATCCTCAGAACAGCAGTGAGGCCACGTGGGCGCCCTGGCTGCATTCCTGCCCTACAGCACCGCTACGTCTCCTGGCCCTTCGGCAGGAAATGAACATCAGTGCACTCTTGTTTTGACCCTGTAGCTGAATGTGCTAATCCCAGAAATTACAGGAATCATCAGCATGATGCACAGCAATTTTAATCTAAAAAAATCACTTTCTAAATCACATTCAGGTAAGGCACCTTTGTGCACGAGGGCAGAACTGAGGAGGGTCACCTGACCATCCCTTCCGCCTCCTGGCAGGAGCCGGGGCTGTACTTCAGACACCCTTGTGGAGAGCCTTCTTTTTTTAATCTTTGCAGAAAGTCCATCTACAACCTTGAGATGTTGTTGCTGTTGTTTTTTAAGTAGGCTCTACACCCAGCATGGAATCCCATGTGGGGCTTCAACTCATGATCCTGAGATCAAGACCTGAGCTGAGATCAAGAATCGGACACTTAACGGACTGAGCCACCTGGGCGTCCCCAACCTTGAGATCTTTTTAACTGTAAGATACAGAAAATCATTTTGAATGTCCCACTGACTTCAAACTCAATCTTCCTTTTTAAAGGAAGCCTACTATTGAAGGCTATTCCTTCTAAAATGGAATTTGCTGGGGCGCCTGGGTGGCTCGGTTGTTGAGCAACTGCCTTCGGCTCAGGTCATGATCCCAGGGTCCTGGGATCGAGCCCCGCATCGGGCTCCCTGCTCCGCGGGAAGCCTGCTTCTCCCTCTCCCACTCCCCCTGCTTGTGCTCCCTCTCTCGCTGTCTCTGTCAATTAAATAAATAAAATCTTTTAAAATAACTAACTAAATAAAATGGAATCTGCTTGATGTGGTGGTTGTCCCTCACTCTGCATAATGACATCAAAACCTGGATGAAAAAGAGTTACAACTAGAAAGTAAGTAACAAAAAAGGGACCACGAACACAAATGAAACTGGCTTAGGGCCCTACTTCAAGGACTTACACCCTCTCTCTCTTGGGGTGGGGGGCGAGCGGTTACAAAAAAAAAGCAGCAACTCTACCTCAGACCTAAATTCAGGATTCAGCTTCGGATATGTGGAAACCAGACGTTTCTGAAGATTCTTATCACCACGTCAAACTAAAACAAGTTCATTACTTCCCAGGACGTACACTGAAAGTTCCAGCAATTGCAGTCACTGGGGCTTTTGGACCAAGAGACCCTAATTCTTCTCTTTTTCCATCTTGCCCCTAGCTTTTGACCTTTTCCCCACTCAAGTATGAAGCAGTACTTGAAAGCGGGAAAAGCTGAGGGGAAAACAGACATTTACTTCTCATGAACAGGGTCTAATCAAAAAAGCAAATTAAAAAATTTTAGAGCAACAAATCCATTTTCCTTTGAAAATTATGTCTTGTGATTATCTTCCCAGCACTGCCAAAGTTGGCTTCCCCCCACCGTACCCCCACGTTCTCCACTCAGAACTCATTCTCACCGCCCTGTATTGTCACTGTGACTTCGTCCTCCGCTAGACTGAGCTCCAAGGGCTGTACCTGTTTTTCCATCAGCAACCACCACAGTCCCTCTGACAGGATGGGTACTTTCCATACGTTTACTGATTTTAATCTCTCCTCCCCAGCAATGGATAATGACTATCCAATTGGATTTGCTTTAAATCCTGCCACAGATAAAAAGTGATTTTATAGAAGTCAGTTACCGGGTTATAGATGATATTCTGCAGGTTTGTTAAGGACAACATCACTCTTTTCCACCTTGTCGTTGATTGAGGCCTCTCTTCTACGTATGATGTAGATTTTAAGCAAGTTTCATTTAAAGGTTCCCAGATTGAAACTGATGCTCTTGCCCTGTGTAAAATTAAAACAGAGGGAAAGAAAAGTTAGCATGCATCATTTTTCTTCATAACTGTTTCTAACTTAAATTACAAATTATTTTACTTATATTTACCAAGTAATAGGATGCTATTACAATCAAAGATCTGACCCCAATTATTTCTTTTTTTAATTTATTTTATTATGTTAATCACCATACATTACATCATTAGTTTTGGATGTAGTGTTCCATGATTCATTGTTTGCGTATAACACCCAGTGCTCCATTCAGTACGTGCCCTCTTTAATACCCATCACCAGGCTAACCCATCCCCCCACCCCCCTCCCCTCTAGAACCCTGTTTGTTTCTGAGAGTCCATAGTCTCTCATGGTTCGTCTCCCCCTCCAACTGCCCCCCCCTTCATTTTTCCCTTCCTACTATCTTTTTTTTTAAACATATATTGTATTATTTGTTTCAGAGGTACAGATCTGTGATTCAACAGTCTTGCACAATTCACACCGCTCACCATAGCACATACCCTCCCCAATGTCTATCACCCAGCCACCCCATCCCTCCCACCCCCCACCACTCCAGCAACCCTCAGTTTGTTTTCTGAGATTAAGAATTCCTCATATCAGTGAAGTCATATGATACATGTCTTTCTCTGACTGACTTATTTAACTCAGCATAACACCCTCCAGTTCCATCCACGTTGTTGCAAATGGCAAGATTTCGGTTTTTCTATGGCTGCATGATATTCCATTGTGTATATATACCACAGCTTCTTTATCCATTTATCTGTTGATGGACATCTTGGCTCTTTCCACAGTTTGGCTATTGTGGACATTGCTGCTATAAACATCGGGGTGCATGTACCCCTTCGGATCACTACATTTGTATCTTTGGGGTAAATACCCAGTAGTGCAATTGCTGTGACCCCAATTCTTTCATTGTGTACTTGTACACTAGATAATTTTAGATTATCAGTGCAGGAAATAGTGACTTAAAGTATACATTAGTAGAGAAGAGGGTTCAAAGTGGCCACAAAGGAAGATTCAGAGCTCACCTCCTCCCATGGACACAACAAATCTACAACTACATACAGAATTCCTCCTTTTAAAAGGGGACCTAGAAACTGGATGAACAGAACCTCCACAACAAGACACAGCACTGAGACAGACAGAAGGGGCAGAAATACAGTCTCACTAATGGAAAAACCATACCCAGGCATGGTCTTGCGCAGTCCAGACAGATCTCAAAGGTATGGAAATTTTTCCAGAGTGAGCGATTCAAGCTCACATCAGGGCTTATATCCTGCACAGATGAGACAGTCCCCAAAACAGCTGGCTTTCAGAACCACCAGGGAATCACCCATAAAACTATAGAACCGTAGGGAAAGGAAAACCCATTCTTAAAGGGCCCGCGTGCAGACTCACTTAACCCAGAAACCAGCACAAACATACCAGACGAAAAGCACAGAGACTACACGTGGAGGAGACCTCCTATTAAACTTGGAGCATCTGCTCAGAGAAGCAGGGGACTGCTGGGTCTCTCCCTGGAGACGCAGACACTGGTGGCAATTGTTTTTGCTGACTCATTCCATCATGCTGATCTGCCCTCCAGACTGCTAATGCCAGGGGTTGCACACTGCTGAGAGCCCCACACGGCCTTGTGCCTCTGCGTGGCCTTGCAGACAACCAGACAACCTGAAGCAGCTGTGGCTGGCGTGACAGCCAGCTGGGCCGGAGGACAGCCCTTCCCACCAGCACACCTGTAGTCCAAGCACTGCCACAACAGGAGGGCGCATGTACCCCATGCAGGGGAGAGCCCTGCAGCAACAGTCTATGGTGGCCAAGGGGGGTTGTGTTTCTGTGCCCCAAGAGACTTCTACATAAAGCCGCTCCTTCAAGACCAGGAGACAGCAAACTACCTAATACAGAGAAACAAACACAAAGAGTTAGGCAAAATGAGGAGATGGAAAAATATGTTCCAAACAAAAGAACAACAACAAAGAATAAACAACAACAAAAACAGAAAGAAAACAAACAGAAAAGGACAAGACAAAACTTCAGAAAAAGAACAAATAAGCAATCTACCCAATAAACAATTCAAAGTAATGGTCAAAAAGACACTTCCTGACCTAGGGAGAAGAAATGAGTGAACACATTGAGAACTTCAACAAACAGAAAATATAAGAAAGTACCAATCACAGTCGAAGAATACAATAACAGAAATGAAAAATACACTAGAGGGAATAAACAGCAGATTAGATACAGAAAAATGGATCAGAGGTCTGGAAGACAGGGTGGTGACATCCAAAATGAACAGCAAAAAAAAAAAAAAAAGAATTTTAAGTATTTTAAGTACAAGATAGTTTAAGGGACCTCTAGGAAAACATAAGGTGTACTAACATTCACATTATAGGGGTCCCAGAAAAAGGAGAAAGAGAGAAGGAGGCAAAAAACTTTTTAAAGAAATAATAGCTGAAAAATTCCCAAACCTGTGGAAGGGAACAGACATCCAGGTCCAAGAAGCACAGAGAGTCCCCCCCCAAAATGAACCCAGATAAGTCCACGTGAAGTCATGTTACAATTAAAAGGTTAAAAATAAAGTGAGAATCTTAAAAGCAGCAAGAGAAAAAAAAAAAGGAACCCCCATGAGATTATCAGCTGATTTTTTGGGCCAGAAGGGAGAAACACAATATATTTAAAATGCTGAAAGGAAAAAACTCACAACCAAGAATACTTTACCCAGCAAGGTCATCATCCAGAATTGAAGGAGAGGTAAAGAGTTTCCCAGAAAAGCAAAAGCTAAGGGATTTACTTCCTCACCACTAAACTGGTTTTACAAGAAATATTAAAGGGACTTCTTTAAGCAGAAAGCACCATAAGTAGAAATAAGACATGTATTTTAAAAATCTCACTGGTAAAAGCAAACACATACTACAGGTAGTGGATCAACAGAGAAATGTAGGATGAAGGTTAAAAGAAAAAGTAGTAAAATCAACTTTATCTACAATAATTAGTCAAGGAACGCACAAAATAAAAGGATGTAAGACATGACGTTAAAAAAACACAGAACGAGAGTAAAGATGTAGTGCTTTTACAACATGCTCCAACGTATGCGACCACCAACTTAAAACAGACTGCTATATACATAGGTTATATATAAACCTTGTGGTAACCACAAACTAAAAACCTATAATAGGTAAACACATAAAAGAGAAAGGAATCCAAACATCACATGAAAGTCATAAAATCACGAGAAGAGAATTACAAAATTAACCAGAAAACCATTAACAAAATGGCAATACATACATACTTATCAATAATTACTTTAATGTAAATGGACTAAATGCTCATTAAAAGACTCAGGATGGCTGAGTGGATTTCAAAAAACACAACAAAAAAAATCCCAAAACAACAAGGTGGAGGATTGCTGGGAAGATGGTGGCGTAGGAGGACCCTCAGCCCACCTTTTTGCACAGATACAATTAGATAATACCCATAATCAGTGTAAAAAAGCAGAAAACAACTCGAAGGCAGAACAAACTCCACAACTAAATGTAGAGAAAAGACCACATATAAGAGGGTAAGAAGGGTGGAAACACAGTGAGGAACTAAACGAACTACGAACCCGTCCGCGGGAGGGAAGAACCCGCAGGCACGGAGAAGGCAAACGGACTATCACACTGAGAAGATCGCTCAGGGAAGATGAATTCCCTTAACGTTTGGCTTTGAAAGCCAGAGGGGCTGAATTTTGTGAGTTTATACAACCAGTGGGACTTAAAGCCTGGAATTCTAAAAATCAGTGGGCCCAACTGTGGAAGAGCCCAGAGGACGAGAAGAAGCTCAGTCCTCACCCTTAAAGAAAGAGCTCAACAAACAGCCTAGAGAGATACAGAATAGAAGCAACAATTTGAAAAATGCCTGGGGTCCATGGGAGGGAGATTTATTTACTTATCTCAGAGTATGTCCTGAAGGGGCAGGATCACTGGGGTACTCCTCCAGGAATAAAGAAACTGGCCAGCACCATTTCCCACCCCTACCTTCCCCACAGCATAAACACACAGCCCACCTGCGGGAACCAGTGCTGTGTTGACTTTCACTACCTAACTTGCTTCCATCGCTCCCCACTCCCTGGGCTTAAGGAATGTGCCCCTTTTAGCCAGGCGTGCTTCAGTTCACTTCAGGACCTCTCCTGTAGAAAACCAGCAGTGTGCAAACCTTGCTAACACTGTTGCCCCACTGCAACACCCCTAGCCCCCATGTTGCGGATCTACACCTCCAATACACTCTTGGATGGAGCCCATTCAAATCCGGGCCACAAGCCTGGCAGTGTGCAAGTAGCCCTGACGGGGGCCAGCACGACTCCAAATGACTACTGCCCCAGGGCAAGGGGAATATAACCACACACAGCAGTCTGACTGCTGACCCAGCAGAGCACTGGAGGCAGACATCTACTCTGACGGCACGTGCCACCCACCAACTAAAGCTTCGCAGGGAACAACACAGACAGAGCACCCTGAAGTTCAGAGCTACTACAGCTCTGGCAAATGCCTGGTCTGACTCAACCCAAGCCCACGGCAGCCCAAGACTGGTCCACTAACACCACAAGGACCAAACATTGCCCACAAGAGACAAAGAGAGCCACTGAGGATGAGTGGACTGAAGTCAAAAGTGGCTCAGCCACCACAGGACCACAGCAGTGTGCATGCAACACACATAGTAGACACCCCTGAAGCACCAGTTTCCAGTGAACAGGGGACACTGCACTGCAGAACACTACAGGAACTCCTCCTCATAAAGCTACAACTTTCAAGAACAGGAGACATAAGTGACTTTCCTATCACGGAGAAACAGACCCAGAGAGTTAGACAAAATGAGGAGACAGAGGAACATGTCCCAAATGAAGGAAAAGGACAAAACCACAGCAAGAGACCTAAGCAAAATGGGGATGGACTTGAGAAAAAAGTGGAGGATATCAGTGAGACCCTAAACAGAGATAAAGAAGAACCAATCAAAGATGGACATCA